GGATAATTTGGTGATTGTTTATTGAAACTTAAATGCGGGCATCAAGTTAATTTTAAAAATTAACTTTCATGTAGCTGTATCTTTACTGAAGTGATTTTGAGCTAGCTTGCCTTGAGGATTGGATAAATGTGTGTGAACTTCATTTCAGACTCTTATTTTCCCGTCTTGCTACCTGGAAAACTTAGTGTTCAGAGGGTGGAAAGTGATATGTTTGTTCAGGCCTCGCATTTTATTTCATGTACCATTCCTATTGAATTTGGAAGGGCTGTTGGTTCAGCAGGATGTCCTTTCTCCTATACCTTCTCTGTTCCACAGATAAAACCACGAAGCCCTAGATGTGCCACAGGCAATAAGGTATTTGCTTTTCCCTGCATGCTGTGGGGTTTTCTGACATGTAAATTTGGTGAAAAGGTTCTCCTTAAGAAATTCGTATCATTAGACATGAACTTTGAAGTAGGATTTGGAAATTTGGCATAGCTGCTTTCCACTTTCAAGTTCCACTCAGATTTCACAGCTACAGCGGACTTCTAAAAGCCGTATACTCACTGTTTTTCAAACTTTCTAGCTTACAGCAACTGGCTAAATTTTGTAGTGGCAGTCATGAGACTGTTAACTGCCATCTAGGCTGCCATCTGGGCCTGCAGTTTTATTTCCTTTATGCATAGATTTCTAACAAAAAGTCTTTTGTTTAGGGCTGTAGTTTCCCTGAAATAGAGTAATTCTGCTTCCGAAACCTTTCCTGCATATGGTTAACAGAGCCATCAGCTGACCATAAGGTCTCTGACACTGCGTACCTAGATGTGTTCCTAGCACCACCTGCTTTTCTCCTTCTTGTCTTTGCTCCCACCCCGAATCTCAAACACTAAAGCTTATTGCCTCGTTTGGGTTTTCTTTTTTTCTGATTTAACTGTTTGTCTGCTGTCACCATAGAGAGAAACATGACTGCTACTGCAGAACCCAGGACACCCATGTCTGTGACATGATCTGAATTTACAGGAAGTTCAAAACAAGTTATGTTTCACAGATTGGGATAAAGGTATGATTAGTTGAACAGTTAACGGCACAAGTGAAGCAAGCCCTGATGGCTGGGGGAAGTAAACGAACAGGAAAGAAATAACTGGAAGCTGGAGTGAATAGAGAAGCATTTAACTGTAGTCTGTAGCAATGAGTCCTTGTGTGATCATGTGCTTAAGTGATATTGAATTACATCAACTGTTACGTTACTTTAATTAAAGTTACTTTCCAAACTTAGGTTCCTTAATTTTGCATTCAAAATGAACCCCTCAATTACAGATGTCTGATAGCACAAAGATTTGCTATTTGCACGCTTCTGTTTGTATAAACTGTGGGAAGTCAATTCTCATTTAAAGGTAGAGCCCACCTGCTCATCCTGTCTTCCTGCAATTGCAGATTTTCCGTGTGCCAACCTTTTATGTCTGGTTTGGGGCTAAAAGCTGTGGTGCCTACTCGGTACAGGTTTGTCAGTTTAGTAAAATGTTTATAGCCACATCAGGAATCCTTCATCTACCTCTGATGTCTTACTCTGCTGTGAAATTTCTAGTACTGAAGGAATGAAAGTTACATATCCCACCCACACCCCAAATAAAGGGCAGTTCTCAAAATTTGGCATATTTCCCCAACTGCAACAAGTAGCAAGGTCCTTTGAGAAGGAAGAGGTAATTCAAGCTGAAAACTGGTGGGGCAGTTTGAACAAAGGGGGAATGAATTGAAGGAACAGAATGCAGGGAGAGTCAAGTGCCAGGGAAGTTTTATCATGAAGAAACAGGTGAGGGAAAGAGTTGGATGTAGCCCTGGAGCTGGAGGAACTGGAGCTACTGAGAAGGGAAGCAGGATCTAGAGATAAGTGGGAAGACAAGAAAAAGCAGTCCACAGTCCTCTGGGTGAGTCAGTCTGACTTGAGCTTTGCTACTGCGTGTTCCTCCTGTCAGGCCTGCTCATGGCTGCTGGTTCCTTCCTTCTTCCCCTGCAAATGAGGTTTAGAAATCAGCTCTGACTGTTCCCAGGGACCAGCCAATGGCAGCAAATTTGCAGTTTTCTGGGTTAGGTAGGCAGTTGCTGTACTCATGCAACTCAGACTTTTATTTCCCTCAATTGGATGCTGGTATTTCTGAATTAACAGTGTATGAAGATCCTGAATTTAATCCTAACATGTAGAAAAATTCCCAGATAAATCTAGGTTTAATATGTAACTAACTAGTGACAAGCACTGTGAGGCTCTGTACTTGTTTCTGCTTCTTTTAGTCATTGTAGTGGACCAAGTTGTAATGAAAGTGGAGTTCTGCAAATAATTTATTGAACAGTTTTATTTCATTCTTAATGGCATTTCTCCAGAAGATGCCATCAAGAATGGTACTACACATTTTGAAAAACTAAACCATTAAAAATTAAGCATTTTGGATGCCTGTATTAAATATTTAACTCAATTGATTTTTATAAAATTAAGCATGTTCTTATGTAGCATCTTACGCCAATGCAGGAAATGGAAGAAATGGAAGAAATAGTAATGAGTGAGGTCACTCGCATAAATTAATAATTATTATTCACTTCAGTCCCATCTCTGACAGAGGTTTTGTAGTTCCCTTTTTTAAAGGGAGAGGTGAGTTTGGAACTGACACAACAAAAATTTAAGTTGTAAAAGAGGCTGTGTCCATGTTATCAAGCAGTGGGATATAATTGGATCAGATCTGTCACGTGCTAAGAACCTGGCATCCAACCTATACAGGTGATGAGGGTTTTATTTCAAGCTGGTCCTCATCTGATTCTGTGGCTAAATTCCTGTCCGTGGTTGGAGCTTGTACAGTGCACACCTGAAGCTCATTCTCTGATTTAGTTTTACTTAAAAGAAATCTGGTTCATGTAGTTGGAGGCTCCTTTGTAATGTAAAGCAAAGCAAGGAAAATAGGGTTGTTTGGGAGATTGACTTAAAAAGTGCAGCCTGATTTGAATTAAATGCTAATATAGACATACCTAGAGTCATGCAGATCTGGAAATTAACCAAAATTTTGTTTGGTAACAGAGCATGTATATCTGATACATGGCAGTGGGATCAGGAAATGCAAGGAATGCTTACAGAAATTGTCAGTTACTAAGAATTTCATCAATTTGGGAGTCTGGAAGAAAACATCAGGAGGACATCGGTTTAGAAATAAATAAAAAAGGCCCAGATTGGCATTGTTCAGAAATGTCTTTATGCTTGTAAAGCAGCCTCTTTAAATAATACAAAAGTGGCCTTCATTTAAATTTGATACTAGATACAAGGGAGTTGGAGGTGCTGTAAAAACAGAAAACTCACCAACTTTTTTCTGGTTTGTAGTTGTTTCTTTTGGAATCCAGCAGAGGACAAACTCAGGTTCTTTGGTTATAAAGAGGAAGAGATGGATATATTTTGCAGATTCTTTACTTTAAAGAAGCAAAAATCTCAATAAACACTTTTGCATGGAAGAATGTTTTTTCAGTTTTACCATGGAAGAAATAACAGTCAAGTGTCAGCCTGTCTGCTCAGTGGAGACAGTTGTCTTTAAGAACTGGTGCTATCTGATACTCAGGATGGCTTCAGGTTACCATTTTACACAAATTTATTATTTATTACCGAGACTATTAAACCTCAGTGTGTGAGGAACAGTGCTTATAAATGGACATGGAGACAGAAGTATTCTGACCTTCTTGTTATGGTAAAGGTCTTTATTGGTACTTAGGAAAAGAGAAGGAAAGTGGATGCTGAAACTCCTCCTCTGCTGGACATCATGCAGGCACATGGCTTGTCTGCCCCAGTACTATTTGCCTTGGCATTCAAAAATAAGTCTTTACATCTATACGTTATAAGATTTTTAACAGCATAGCTGGATTACTGACATCTAAGCCTTTGTGTTACTTTCAAGGTCTTATGTCTGAAGTTGTAAAACTGAGACTTGTAAATGATAAAATTCTTGTGTCACCTTTTTGAAAGCTTTGGATGATGGAAAAATTAAAAAATTGTGACACTTATAAAATGGGAATAGTTGGCAATAGGTGATATGTGCTCAAGATGGAATCTAAGTAATAAAGCTGATAATCCTAACTTAGCTATCCACAATGCATTTGAAAACACTGGGACTTGAAAGTCAGACTTGCTCACAGTCGTTGAAGAGTGCTGGGTAAGAGCCTGTGCTGTGCTTTCCTCTAATGCTTGGGCATATGTCAGTTCAGAAACACAAAAAAAACCAAAACCAACCTGTTGCCAGTACTTTTTTTCCAAATTTGTGTTTTGCTGCTTCTTCCCAAGAGTAATTATGCCTGTGTGCAGCTACAATAAGCCTATTGATTACTTCTCGGTATATCACAGTTACTTCTGTGGTGGAACTAATGTGGTCACACCAGTGGATTTTTGTTGTGAAACTGCAGTCTTACAGATTCTCCAGTGCTTAGTAAAGACTGGCTTGTGCATTGTTTGTTTGTGTTTTCCACTGGTGTCACTGCCAAAGTGTCCTTTCTCTTGTCTGCTCCCTGTTTTTTAAACCCAGAGCAACAAAACAAACCCACCCATAAAAAGCTGGTATCTGGAGGCTTGCAGATCTTGCTGGTATAGATCGGGTGAATCCAGGAGTTACTGGGAGAGAGCAGAAAGGCTTGTTCTATGAAGATTTTTAACATCCTTCCTCCCTGACATCATCATTCATCTAAGACAAACCTGTATTTAAATAAAAAGTTGGAAATATGTTGGGTTTTTTTAACAAGTATCTGAGTGAATAAATTAATGCTATAATTAAATTAAATTTAAATGCTTTTTAGTGTCAGTATTTTACAAATATATCGCAGCTGTTCAACTGTTACAAATGCAGAAGTCCAAAGTCTTTCCTAGCTAGGAGCAGCTCATAATAACAGATGGTTTCTGTAATGCCAGATACCAGTATCTGCAAGGTACAGTTCACATTATGTGCTATAAACTGTCAATACAATTTCTTCAGTTATCTCTTAAGTCAGTTTTTGTTCCTGTTTTACAGATCAGTAGAAATATGCATCTCCATAATATTACCTTTGAACTAATGAAGTGGAAGTACAGATGAAAACAGTCTGGAGGAAGCTTGAAGTACACTACAGTTTCATTCAGTTTCCCAATTCTGAGGTAAGGTTAACGCATGCAAAATTTTATTTCAAGTATTTCAGGCATAAAAAGCATGATAAGCAGCCACCCTATCTTGTAAAAACTTCTGTATGCTAATGACAGTCTTTAATACTGTACTGAAAGAGCTGTATGATCTACTCTCTGTCCATGTTTCACTTACAAAAAAAGATCAAATGGCAATTACTGAGACATCTGTTACAGAAAGATATGTTGGCAAAAAGTTACCACGAGACAAATTTTATATGGTACAGTCTGCAAACAGAGCAACAGGTAGTATAGGTTTAACATACTTATGTGCTACTTAAAAGTAAAGGACATGGGCTCGATTCTGAAAATTAGGGAGTTCACACTGGCACAAAACCAAGAACTAATTTTCCTCCTTTTTTCTCCTTGAAAAGGAGAGCAGATCATTTCTCCTCCAGTGAGAGAGACAGTTGAACAATAAATAACAGTTCCTGGATTGTTTATCAATAGAGGACTCTGCAGATGAGGCACTGTCTTGAAAGGTCATTCTTTTGTCTATCAGAAAGAACAGTTTATATTCTCAGGCTTATAATACAAGCAATTCCAAAATTGAGATTGTTTGGGGAACATGTGCATGTTAATAGAAGACTGTGTACTTTAAGATTTATTTGTAGCATTAAATAGCTTAACCTAGATGGTCTGCCATGGACACTAGAACCACACCAGCCATTTAGAAGAGTGATTGATGTGCTGACTTGAAAGGATAATCTGTATTTGGTAAATCTCAGGGTTTTCTAAGGTATGGGGTTGGTAGAGGGTAAAGAATGGGTCATCATAAACCAGTTCTTTCATCACTCTGACCTCTTTTCTTAATGATCCCACTCACATTTAGAGCTGGTGCAGTACTTAGCGAAGTAGTGCTGTAATCTTTGTTAATGAAAAATCTCACTCCTTTCATAGAAGAGATTTGAGGGAAGGGCAGTGCTTGGAGACGCCATGTATAGGTAAGTTCTCTGAATAAAAAGTACCAGTAAATGCTAATTAGTGTCTTTTGAGATACCATCTGTATTTCCCTCTTGAGTGTCTTTCAGAGCTATCCTGAATTGAAGTGAGGTAAAAAATGCATGGTTGCCCTGCTGTTATGCAGAAGGAAAGAGAGCAGAGGGATTTTTGGTGATACTTATTGTTTTGCTCATATGGCTGGGCAAAAGCTTTCTGGTGTCAAGCATCAGGTTGTATAAGCATATTGATCCAGTTGGTTTGAAAACACTGGACGCAGTATGATTTCAAAGGGAAAAAGCAAAACAGACCCAACGTCACCACCCCCAAACCAGCTTCCCAAGATGCTTCCCCTCCCCCCCCCCGCCCCTTGTCTACTTTCTTTTAAAAAGTAATAGTATTGACAACAGTTGAGGGAAGGAGGTTATATTATGCTTTCCCTGTATGTAAATAGCCTATCTGGCAAAAATAAAATGGCAACACCATTCCACCACAAAACCTCTGTATCTTGATACAGTGTGTCCTGTTTTTACTAGTTATTACAGGTTTGTAAGTCAACAAGCACCCAAGCAGTAAGAAGGGAGCATATCAGATCCAAATAAAAATAAGTCCTTTTGCTAATAATTTCTATTCCTGTGTATGTTTTACCTCCTGCTTTCAAACCTTTGTACTTGAATTTCAGTAGTCAGGCAACAAAGACAAAATTAAAAAAATAAGGTTATGAAAGCCAAAAGAGGGAAAAACTATAAATATCAGATTTGGACAGAGCACATCGTCCCAGGTGTTGATCAGACATTTTATGTACTTCCGAAGTGAATGATCTATGGTATTGTATTTCATAGTCTGACCTCCTTTCAAGTGTATTTTTTGGAGCCCATTTATGACTTGACACGCACAAAACTCTATGAAAGTGAGTGCTTTAGTTTTAAATGTTTGTTATATACAAAAGGGACATTTTGTTCGCATCTAGATCTGCTGTCTTATAACTTCTTTATTAGCTCCTAGTTGGTGGGCAGAGAGAAATTGTGATTATATATCTCATGTTATCTCCATGTTAAAGTTCAGTGAAGAGGATCATACAAATCTCTGACAGTTCTCAAGATGGTTTATTTTAATATTTCTGTAATATGGAATCTCTCTGTTATATGCCCCTTCCTTGTGCTTTTGCTAGTACTACTCTGTTTTTTGAGGCAACGTAAAATTTTATTACATCTTACTTAGTAGGGTAAATGTCTTTTAATTTTAACTATGAACTTGTGCAAGTCTTTAGCATTTCTAGTGTGATGTAGGTGTTTTCTTTGGGGTATTAAAAACTGGGTTTGGATGATCTCCCTCCCCCCCCCCCCCCCCCCCAGTATAAAATATTCCCTTAGTTTGACTTGCCTACTGCAAGGCATCAGCTAGGAGATTAAAGACCCGATTGACAGTTTAGGAATAAATTCGTACTTCTCAGTTTCTAGTTTCTGTAGAGTTGTCATCTTTCTGTCCTCTCCCATACCGGTGGTGGTAGAACTATCTTTTCTCATGAGCTTGGTCGTTCAGTAGCTAAGAACACATGGCAAAGTGTTTCAGAATGAAATCTGCCAGTGATGAGATGGTGTTCCTGCAATGGTTTTCTTATTAACATCAAGACTGCGTAAAAAGTCCATTCAGTTAGGAAGCAATTATTCTGTAAGGTTGGGTTAGCTGCCACTGAATTTGCTTTGCTAGGAGTTAATTCCATAACAAACAGGCTGAGCCACTTCAGGCTTAAACCACAAATGGGAAATGCAGGTCAGTGTGCTCAAATCATTTTCCAGGAGTGGAGTAACCGGAAGTCAGTGTCATCTTTTGAATCAGTTGATCAAAACAGGAAGTGCCAGTGATGCTACTTCAGAGCTGCTCTATTCTTCAGCGTGCTATCACATGTTTTGCTGGTCTTTTGACCAATATCCTCCTCACACTGCTTTCCTTACTTCCATTTGGCCTCATTTATCCTGGGTTGTTCCAGGTGTGTGACGATTTTGACTCAGCATAAAACAAGAGCCTTCCCTATTGGACCAAGACTGTAAGGTTCAGGAAGGTCGAGTTAAGCTGTCCAAGTATGCCATCATTCAACTGTTTTTAGTTTGGCTCTGTTCAGCTCAGAAGATCCTATTAAATGTGTCACATTTAATCACGAAGAAATTCAGACATGTTCCTGTGTAGTAAGAGGCGGCTGTATTTTGCATATTATTTGTGTATCTGATGAGATGAACATTTGTTTCTGATTGTACTGTTTTAAAGCTGCCTTAAGAAGTCAGTGACGGACTAGGTTCCTCTGAACTAGGTTTAATAGTCGAGAATGTTTTCTCCATAGGTTCCCAGGTAATGAAATGTTAGATGAAATGTTCCTGAAGTTCTGTAGTTGATACGGAATTGCATGGCAATAAATCCAGGGATACAGTTAAAATGTAATTTAAAATCATAAACAGCTACTTGTTAACAAAAATCTAAGGTTGATTTAGATAAGGGTCCTCGTGTAACACCCTGTATCTTCATAAAAAAAACGTGTGATGGAAACTTGCCAGTTTTCTGATTTCTAATCCAGGTATGAAATATCATTAAAAAAATAATAATGAAATGTGTATCATAGGCAAGTCTAGGTAAAGAAGGCATACTTTTTATCATCTCTTTAAAGCATTTATGTTCTGCATTTACAACACAATACAGGAATTTCAGAATCTTGAGTAATAATTTGAATCTTTTAAAACTTAAATATTCTGCTCTGAAACTTTTCTTTGTTAAAATACTTCTGGTGAAAAATAATGGTAAATAGGTAGCAATGTTTGTGAATATTCATGAATTACTTAATCATCTGGTATGTAATTTACATATTTTTTCCAGTTTTTGAAAACAGAGAAATCTGTTGTGCAATAGAATGGAAAATAATTTCTTGATGGTACAGGTAAATTAAAAAAAAAAAAAAATCTCCCCCCCCAACCAAACCACAGGGATTTTTTTCCCCATGTACTTTGTCATGAACTGACTTGGTATAATAATGGCAGTAGTTATTTCCGATACTGTAATTGAAATATTAGGATGGTGTGTTTTACATGTCAAGGGAAGAAAAGACATAAAACACTTGCTACTGTGTGCAGGTGCACAGAGTCTTAAAGTATAGACACCATTTAGTCTTAGGATGCTAGTAAGTTTGCTAGTTATACTTAGAAATAAGCCTAAGTTGCTTACAAAATTAGTGAGAAAACAGAATAACAATATTCTGTTGTTACAATGGAATGGTTTGAAAAGAGGAAAAAAAAAAAACACCCCAAACCCAACAACCAAACAGATGAGGTGGCTATATGCCAAAAGATAGTAATAGTATAGTTGTATTTACTAACAGTCTGAAGAGCAAGCTAACAGAAAAAAAAGGCAAGATCATAGAACTATAGAACAGAATCATGGAACAGTTTGGGTTGGAAGGGACCTTCAAAGCTCATCTAGTCCAACCCCCCCACAATGAGCAGGGACATCCTGAACTAGATCAGGTTGCTCAGAACCACATCCAGCCTGGCCCTGAATGTCTCCAGCAATGGCACATCTTCCACCTTTCTGGGCAACCTGTTCCAGTATTTTACCACCCTCATTGTAAATTTCTTCTTTGCATCCAGCCTGAATCTCCCCTCTTTCAGTTTAAGACCCCTCATCCTATCACAACAGGCCCTGCTAAAAAGTCTGTCCCCATCTTTCTTATAGGCCCCTTTTAAGAACCAAAAGGTTGCAATAAGGTCTGCCCGGAATCTTCTCCAGGCTGAACAACCCAGACTCTCTCAGACTTTCCTCACAGGAGAGGTGTTCCAACCCTCTGATCATTTCTGTGGCTCTCCTCTGGACCTGATCCAACTGGTCCATATCTTTCCTGTACTGAGGACTCCAGAGTTGGATGCAGAACTGCAGGTAGGGTCTCACCAGGGCAGAGTAGAGGGGCAGAATCACTTCCCTTGCCCTGCTGATACTATAGCTTGGGAAAAAATAAAGGAAGTAGCCACATTTCTAGAATGACTAATGAAGCAAGG